TGGATTACTCTGATGTCCTGTTACCCGTCATACTGCCCTGTGGCTTACTCTGATGTCCTGTTACCCGTCATACTGCCCTGTGGCTTACTCTGATGTCCTGTTACCCGTCATACTGCTCTGTGGCTTACTCTGATGTCCCGCCGTTACCCATCATAATACAAAAATAATTCCAAGTGCTTCCTGTTCTTTATAGGCTCGAGCTGCTTCAGGATCAGATCTGTAACACACTCCAGTCCCATGTGCCTTTAGGAAAGGTCATAAAAGAAACAAATCAAAGATAGGAGGTAGCATAAATCCAGTATACAGAGTAGATGCTTATTGATTTCTATTCTATAAATAATATGTGATTCTGGTCATTCAGGGAGAACTGCCAAGTCGAGGTGCCATTACTTCTCACTGTTCCTAAGCCACAAGCATAGTAAATACAATAAAAATGACATGAAGGGAAACCATTGACATGGAGGCATGTCCTGCTCTGACATCATGACCTGCTGTGACATCATCAGTCAGCGCCTTTCATTGCGAGGTCTCCATGACAGAAACGTCTGCACATGGCTTAGATACAGCCATCTCCATAAGACAAGTGAGCCAGGGGAGACCTATACGCTTAGTTCCTTCGACCAGTGAGCCCGGGGGTGATGGGTGGTAATGGAGGGTTCCAGCACCTTCAGGGTGTCTGTTTTCTTGTTGGGGACAAATTGCAGGCCACGGTTTTGGATGAAGACCCTCATTATTCAGACATATAGAGAAGTTTAGTGCTGCTCTATTTAAAGATCTGTTTGGCTAAAAAAATAGTCAGTGTAGGAGAACAAGAATGAGCAAACAAGTGTAACTGAAGTGCAGGTCCCTCCCCAGTCATGGGGGACTGTGAAGAGAGCTGTTTGTGCCCCCCAGAGGGATGGTAAATTGAGTTCCCTGGGTTTTGTCAGAAAGGATTTAAGGTTTGAATCCTAGGGGGGGGGGGGTCTTGCGGCAGGTTTAGTACAAATGGTAGTAATAAATAACCAGTTACGTAGGAGTAAAGATCCCTAACTCTGAAGGATGAGGGCCACTTAAAGCGAGACGGAACGGCAGTGACAGTCCAGTGCTGCAGTGTGACAGCCGGGAAGTTGCGGCCCCTGTTCTGACGGCGGCTATAATTATGGGGCCGACGAAATGCTGCGCCAACAGAGTGCAGCTGGGACGTTTCTGGGGGACTGGGTGTGGGCTGTCGGCTGAATGAGAGATGAGGAGATGACTGCAGGTCAGCTGTGGACCAGTCTGAGTGACCCAACGTTACATCATCGGCAAGGAGGAAAAAGAAAGAGACTGCAAATTTCCTGTCCTTCCTCTCCTCTGATGTCCTGTTACCCGTCCCCCGAGCGCCCCACTCCGCCGGACCGCCGTCCCCCGAGCGCCCCACTCCGCCGGACCGCCGTCCCCCGAGCGCCCCACTCCGCCGGACCGCCGCCCCCC